TTGAGAGACAAGGATTAATCGAGGAATGTCAGCATGGCTTTGTTAGGGAAGATCATGTCTAATAAATTTGATATTTTCAGGGAGGTAATTGATGTTTAGATGAGGGAATGCAGTTGGTGTAGTCTAAAAAGACTTTAGTAAAGCTTTTGACGATGTAGCACAGAAGACTGGTCAAGTAGACATGAGCCTGTGGGATGCAGGGCAATTTGGCAATATATCAAATTTGCTTTTTGAAGGAATTTATATCATTCATTTGAGGGCTTCCTTACTTCCAGTGACTTATTCTGAAGTTCTAATCCTCTCTGAGTCACAAAGTTCTAACTGGCCGCGGCTGTTTATTATCTGGTGACCTCTGAACTTTGAACTTTCTTCACGCTGTTCAATTTTTTTCCAATCCTGTAATTAATTGTAATTCCTCGACCGCCAGGTGTGCTTACTCCATGTCAATGAACTGTAGATTAATATAGCTGTATGCAGCTTTTAATTTGTAATTATTCAAGTTAAAGCAGGTCAGCAGGCAAGATTTTGTTTAAACAGATTAAAGATTAGTTTATTATAAGTTGCTACTTGGGTTCATTAGCGATAAAGAAATTAAACTATTAACAAGAAATTGCAAGATTGGAACAATTGCAGATAAGATTAAGTTTATTTATAAGAAGAAGGTCCCAATGAGTATCTGTGATATACCATTGGGCTTGTTGCTTGTGTTCCTTGTTACTGTAGCAAAGAGGCTCACAGTTGAAGTCAGATCTAGCAACTGCAATGGGTTCTAAGTCGAAGAATTGATATTTTCTTGTACAGGTAGACTAGCAGGATAACAGATTTCATGAGAATGATCTTTGTTTTTCATTAGTGCTGAAATGACAGAACTTTCATACTTCCCTGAATTTCCTTCTGCACAACAGTTGTTTGGTTTCTATAACCCTTTGTCTATTTGTCCTCTCTCCATTAAACTTCCATTTCTGAGTGAGGTTCTTAAAGCCTTCTTCATGGTCTTCTGCACACTGCTGTTCTTAATGAGATAACACAGTGTAGTCCAAGGAGTGGGAGGGGGAGTTGAAATGGTTTGCGACTGGGAGGTGTAGTTGTTTGTTGCGAACTGAGCGTAGGTGTTCTGCAAAGCAGTCCCCAAGCCTCCGCTTGGTTTCCCCGATGTAGAGGAGGCCACAATGGGAACAGCGAATACAGTATACCACATTAGCAGATATGCAGGTGCAACATCTGTTTGATGTGGAAGATCTTGTTAGGGCCTGGGATGGGGGTGAGGGGGGAGGTGTAGGGGCAGGTGTAGCACTTGCTCCAGTTGCAGCGAAAAGTGCCGGGTGTGGTGGGGCTGGAGGGGAGTGTGGAGCGGACAAGGGAGTCATGGAGAGAGTGGTCCCTCCGGAAAGCAGATAAGGGTGGGGAGGGAAAAATGTCTTTGGTAGCGGGTCAGATTGCAGATGGCGGAAGTGTCGGAGGATGATGCGTTGGATTTGGAGGTTGGTGGGGTGGTACGTGAGGACGAGGGGGATTCTGTTTTGGTTGTTATTGCGGGGAGGGGGTGTGAGGGATGAGTTGCGGGAAATGCGAGAGACACGGTCGAGGGGATTTTCGAACACTGTGGAGGGGAAATTACGGTCCTTGAAAAACGAGGACATCTGGGATGTCCGGGAGTGGAATGCCTCATTTCGGGAGCAGATGCAGCGGAGGCGAAGGAATTGGGAATAGGGAATGGACTTTTTGCAGGAAGGTGGGTGAGAGGAGGTGTATTCTAGGGAATGGACTTTTTGCAGGAAGGTGGGTGAGAGGAGGTGTATTCTAGGTAGCTGTAGAATAGCTCCCAGATGTCCTCGTTTTTCAAGGACCGCAACTTCCCCTCCACAGTGGTTGAAAATCCCCTCGACCGTGTCTCTCGCACTTCCCGCAACTCATCCCTCACACCCGCTCCTCGCAATAACAACCAAAACAGAAACCCCTCGTCCTCACGTACCACCCCACCAACCTCCAAATCCAACGCATCATCCTCCGACACTTCCGCCATCTGCAATCTGACCCCGCTACCAAAGACATTTTTCCCTCCCCACCCTTATCTGCTTTCCGGAGGGACCACTCTCTCCGTGACTCTCTTGTCCGCTCCACACTCCCCTCCAGCCCCACCACCCCCAGCACTTTTCCCTGCAACTGGAGCAAGTGCTACACCTGCCTCTACACCTCCCTCCTCACCCCCATCCCAGGCCCTAAGAAGACTTTCCACATCAAACAGATGTTCACCTGCATATCTGCTAATGTGGTATACTGTATTCGCTGTTCCCCTTGTGGCCTCCTCTACATCGGGGAAACCAAGCGGAGGCTTGGGGACCGCTTTGCAGAACACCTACGCTCAGTTCACAACAAACAATTACACCTCCCAGTCACAAACCATTTCAGCTCCCCCTCCCATTCCTCAGACGACATGTCCATCCTGGGCCTCCTGCAGTGCCACAACGATGCCACCTGAAGGTTGCAGGAACAGCACCTCATATTTCGCTTGGGAACCCTGCAGCCCAATGGTATCAATGTGGACTTCACAAGCTTTAAAATCTCCCCTCCACCAACCGCATCCCAAAACTAGCCCAGCTTGTCCCCACCTCCCTAACCTGTCCTTCTTCCCACCTATCCCCTCCTCCCACCTCAAGCCCCACCCCCATCTCCTACCCACTAACCTCATCCCGCCTCCTTGACCTGTCAGTCCTCCCTGGACCGACCTATCCCCTCCCTAACTCCCCATCTACATTCACCTTTACTGGCTCCAACCCCGCTTCTTTGACCTGTCTGTCTCCTCTCCACCTATCGTCTCCTTTATCCATCTCCTATCTGCCTCCTCCTCTCTCCCTATTTATTTCAGAATCCTCTTCCCCTCCCCCATTTTCTGAAAAAGGGTCTCGACCCGAAACGTCAGCTTTCCTGTTCCTCTGATGCTGCTTGGCCTGCTGTGTTCATCCAGCTCTACCCTTGTTATCTCAGATTCTCTAGCATCGGCAGTTCCCACTATTTCTGTTCTTAATGAGATTTCTTTTCACAGTTCAAAGATCAAACATGGTGGCATGTTAATTTTGAGGAATCAAAGATTCCGCAAAATAAAGATGTTAATTTTGCTGATTCCTTTTCAAATGTTTCCTCCCATACGTTGATCGCCGAAGCTTGAATTCTCACACTTCCATTATCTTTGCAAACTCCTGCTAATTCAAGAATCTTGATATGATATAAGAACATAGGAAACAGGAGCAGAAGGCAATGCAGCACCTCAAGCTTGCTGGCTGTCCAAAAGATCACGGCTCATCTGCCACAGGGCATAGAATCATAGAATCCCTACAGTGTAGAAACAGGCCCTTTGGCCCAACAAGTCCACACTGACCCACACAGCATCCCACCCAGACCCATCCACCTATAACCCACCTAATCTACACATCCCTGAACACTATGGGCAATTTAGCATGGCCAATCCACCTAACCTGCACATCTTTGGACTGTGGGAGGAAACCGGAGCACCCAGTGGAAACCCACGCAGACACAGGGAGAATGTGCAAACTCCACACAGGCAATGGCCTGAGGGTGGAATCAAACCCAGGTCCCTGGCACTGTGAGGCAGCAGTGCTAACCACTGAGCCACTGTGCCACCCCCTCAACACTTCTTTTGTGCCAGCTCCACATAGCCCACAGCTCCTTGATATTTCAAATATCTGTCTAGCTCTTCTTCAAATACTTTCAGTGATCTAGCTTCCAAAATTTTCTGGGTGGAGAACTCAAGATATTTACTACGCTGAGTGAAGAAATTCCTTTGAAGCACGGTTAGTAAGTTTGCAGATGACACCAGAATTGATGGTATAGAAGACAGTGAAGAGGGTTATCAAAGGGTACAAAGGGATCTTGATTAATTGGGCCAATGGACCAAGGAATGGCAGATTGAGTTTGATTTAGATAAATGCGTGGTGTTGCATTTTAGTAATATGAACAATGACAGTTATACCGTTAACGGTAGGACCTTGGGGAGTTGTCGAACAGAGAGACCTAGGGGTTCAGATACATATTCCTTGAAAGTTGCATCACAGGTAGGCAGGGTGGTTAAGAAGGCATTTGGCACGCTTGCCTTCATTGCTCAGACCATTGAGTATAGAAGTTGGGATGTCATGTTATGGTTGTACAGGACATTGGTGAGGCCACTTTTGGAGTAATGTGTACAGTCAGGTCTCCCTGCTACAGGAAGGATACTATTAAATTGGAGAGGATTCAGAAAAGATTTACAAAGATGTTGCTGGTACTGGAGTGTTTGTGTTATTAGGAGAGGCTGGATAAGCTGGGACTTTTTTCAATGGAGTGTAGGAGGTTGATGGGTGACCTTATAGAGATTTATAAAATCATGAGGGGCACAGATAAGGTGGATAGCAAAAGTCTTTTTGCTAGAGTAGGGGAGTTCAAAACTAGAGGCCATAATTTTAAGATGAAAGGAGAAAGATTTAAAGGGTACCTGACAGGAACTTTTACATAGAAAGGGTGACATGAACTGCCAGAGAGAGTGGCAGATGCAGGTGCAGTTACAACATTTAAAAAACATTTGGGCAGGTACATGGATGGGAAAGGTTTAGAGGGCTATGGTTCAAACAGAAGCAAATGGGACTAATTTAGTTTAGGAGACCTGGTCCGTATGGACGAGTTGGACCAAAAGGTCTGTTTCCATGCTGGATGGCTCTATGATTCAATGGACCTATGAATGAGTGTGCCTTATCCTATATCTACGTCCCCTAGTTCAAGACTCCCCCATGAGCAGAAACATCTTCAATATCTAATATGTTTGGGCACGTCTATAGATTCAGGTGATTTAAAGCAGCTTTTCTTTAGCTTCTTGTGTCCAGCTTGATCCAGGCTGCTTCTTTTTTAACAAGAATATATACATTTCATGACATTTTTAGTCAGCAAAGCATTCACTCTCATGTTACTGTGATATCTGAATGTTCTGATAAATCTATTTCTCTAATTGGCAGAGTACTGTGGATAAGCTGATCAAGAAGACAAACCTGGCACTGGTTATTGGTACGCACTCGTGGCGGGAGCAGTTTATGGAGGCCGTTACAGTCAGTGCTGGTGAGATGATGTTTTAATTTCTGTCTTTCATAGTGTTAGAGCAGAGTTGTGCATTACAAATTGTTAACTAACCATGAGCTTAATATGGCAAATCATTCCAGCCACATGGAAACATTTGACAGTATATATGTAAATATGTGATGTTTACCACCACTGTAATCCAATAATTTAAAGCACTCACAGCAGTTAAGCATTATTACACTCTGCTTTCTGTGATATTATTTTATCAACAAAAATACATAATACACTTGCATATCATGTGCAAATGTGAACATTGCTAAGCCTTTCTGTATGTTTTGCCTTTATGACACACTTTAAAATCTGCTTCTTTGATTTGTAATATTTACTGTAAATCTACAGACTCTGTCAAGTACTTTGACTACACATCTTTGCATCCTGCTGCATGTAAGGACTCTTCCATTCTCCCTGCTTCTCCTCAATTGCATCAGTTCTGATGCCACTGTCTTCCAAACGGGGACTTTCAATAGGCCTTTTTCTTCACCAAACAAGCTTCACCCCTCCCCCACTCAAAGCGTAGTTGGCCCTCCACTGTGTCAACTCCATTTCCTGCCTTCTGCTATCACCACACAAGCTCCAGCCCAGAACCACAGCAATGTTCTCCTATGTCTTCATCTTCTACCTCATCAGCTTCCATATTCAATAAATGATCCTCTGCCAATTCCAAATTGAAGCCACTACCGAACATGACCCCCAGCATTCTAAAGGATCTATTCTCTCCTCAAAACCATGGTCTATTCTTCAATTACTCCTAATACACTCATTCCTTCCTCCTACTTTATTACTTTCTACACTTTGTTTCTCTATTTTCACTTACAGCCAGCCTTGGATCTGGCCTTCTGTATTTCTGGGTAGAAACCTGGGACTGGAAGTAACTTGGTTGCTGTTTGGCTGAGCCAAAAAAATAGTACAAGCTCAAATATGAAGCTGGGGAGAAACAAAGAATGTAATGATGTGTGGTAGGGGTCGGGTATAGATGGAAAAATGATCCCGCTAGACATATAGGATAGAATATAGGGTTTAGAATTGAAAGTCAAGAGCAGATGGAACTTAAGCAGGGACTTCAAACTGTGGTCACAAGTTCCAAGGCAGCAATGGCTGTCACATGGTAACAGCTCTAAATTCCCTCGATTTCTTGCTGTTACTGTGTATGGTCTAACAGCAGATTGAGACATGGTTTCTGCAAAAATGCCTGTGAAAGTGCAGGTCTTCATTTAAAATAAAACCCCTGCAGTTTAAACGATTTCCACCACACTGAACATTGTTCATATCATGCTGAGGAGCTAAATAGTGCCCTGTAGATCCATCAAGCAGCCAAGGATAAAGACAACTCCTTTACCTCCACAATCAGCAGCTAAAGCTACGCCTCGTGGAGAATTCTGAGGCATTAAAATGGCATTACACAGGGAAATATTTTGGGAAGCGCTGCACTAAGGTGTGCAAGACCACACAGTATATTCTAAGATCCCAAAATCCTTAATTACACAGCTGAGTAGTGCTCCAAGTAGGAGTCATTGCCTTGTGATAGGGTATGTTTTCATCTCCCTGAGCCCTGTAACTCTGAGGATAAGGCCAAATGCAGAGTGAGAGAGTGAGAAAGCGGTAAGATGACATAATAATGAGGATGTTGATGTCTGCAAATAGGCCTATCACCAACAAGAACTTTGTCGCCCCACTCAGCACTTGATTGGAAAAATGGGACATGTTGCTCTCGATGTCAGGTCAGGAATTTCCTTACTGTTGATCTCACATGATTCTCCCAATTTTCTTGCCATTGTCCATGTCATTTTGCCCTGTGATTTTTTCCCAGTACTGTAATTCTTCTTCCTTAATAAAGTTAAAATGAGAATCTGAAAGTTCAATGTAATAAGCTGAACTTCATGCTTATGTGTGCATCTGGAATAAGCTTATCTGTGACATTAAGAACATTGTGAAATGTGACTTCTGCTCAGCAGTCAAGTTCTATGGTTTTAGGTAATGAGACTTGGAGTTCCAGCTTTTTGCTAATTTTCTACTTCGAACAAACCTGACTCATATAATGCAGCCTAAGGCTTAGAGTGATTATTTAACTGTTACCTGAACCTTAAGAGGATATAAAAACATTTACATCACTCCCTCTGATCAAATTGCAGTAGCCACCCTGGGAAATGCTGATTTATCTAGGTATAAGGTCACAATGCAGTTGCAGGAAATGAGGGATCACAAGCACTTCAGAAGCATAGAAAATAGGAGCAGGAATAGGGCATTTGACCCTTTGAGCCTGCTTCGCCATTAACTATATCATTGTTGTCAACCAACACCTGTTCCTGCTTCCTCCCCATACTCTTTGATTATTTTAGTGCAAAGAACTAAATCTAATTCCATGAATTGGCCTCAATTGCTTGCTGTGATAGAGAGTTCCATAGGCTCACCATTCTCTGGAAGAAGAAATTTTTCCTCACCTCAGTCCTAAATAGCCTATCCCATATCCTTAAACTGTGACCCCAGTTCTAAATTCCCCAGTCATTGGGAACATCCTTCATACATACTCCATCTAGTCCTGTTAGATTTTTTAATATGTTTCTTTGAGATTCCCTATTCATTTTTCTAAGCTCCTGTGAATATAGTCCTAGCTAGTCCAGCTTATCTTCATACATGTCCTACCGTTCCAGGAATCAGCCTGATTACCCCATAGCCAGATCATTCTTCCTCAGATAAGGAGTCCAAAGCTTGCATACAATAAGGTGTGTAGATGATAGAAAAATAGGTGGGAATGCAGGCAGTGATATAGGGAGAGGCTGAATAGGCTGGGGCATTTTTCCTGGAGAATCAGAGGCTGAGGGGCAACCCAGTAGAGGTTTATAAACTCATGAGGAATATGGATAGAGTGAATAGCCAAGGTCTTTTTCCTAGAGTGGGGAGTCCAAAACTAGAGGACATAGGTTTAAGGCAAGAGGGAAAGACTTAAAAAGGACCTGAGGGGTAACTTTTTCACACAGAGGGTGGTACGTTATGGAATGAGCTGCCAGAGGAAGTGGTGGAGGCGGGTACAAGTACAACATTTAAAAGGCATCTGGATGGGTACATGAATAGGAAGGGTTTGGAGGGATTGGGATATTTGTTCAGTGTGGCTGTATGACTCTATGATGAGGAGATAAAGAGATGGATATTGACAGGCTAGGAGAATGGGCCAGAATCTGGCAGATGGGGTTAATGTGGATAAGTTTGAGGTTGTCCATTTTGGCCCTGAAAATAATTTGGGCAAATTATTATTTAAATAGGAAGCAGATTCAAAGTGCACTAGTGCAGAGGGATCTGGGCATCTTTGTGCATGAATTGTAGAAAGTATATATACAGTTGCAGCATATAATAAGAAAGGCAAACCCTGGCATTTATTGCAAAATTAAAGAAGTGTTGTTCCAATTAAATAAGGTATTGGTGAGACCACACCTGAAATATTATGTCCAGTTTTGATGTCCTTACTTGAGGAAGGAAGTGGTGGCACTGGAAGCAGTTTAGAGGAGGTTCACCAGTTTGATTCCAGGGATGAAAGAGCTGTCGTACGAGGAGCAGTTGAATAGCTTGGGCTTGTACTCACTGGAGTTCAGAAGAATGAGGGAGGATCTGATTGAGGTATGTAAAATGCTAAAGGGAATTGATAAGTGGATGTTGAATAGATGTTCATCCTTGTGAGACTATCTCGAAGAAGAGGTCATGGATATAGAGTGAGAGAAGGTAAGTTCAAAACTGAGATGAGGAGAAACTACTTCTCTAAGAAGGTTGAGAATTTGTGGAACTTAATGCCCCAGAGTGCAGTGGAGGCAGAATCAATGAACAGATTCAAGAATGAAATAGATATGTTTCTTATGAAAAGCAAGATAAAAAGGAGCAGGCAGAAAAGTGGCGATAAGACCCAGATAAGCTCAGCCACAACCATATTAAAAGGCAGACTGGGCTTGAAGGGCTAAATTGCCTACTCCTGCTCCTAATTCCTATGTTCCTGTAATCCAGGTGTGGTCTCATCAAGGCCCTTTTACAAATGCAGCAATAAATTCCTGCTCCTGTATTCAAATCCTCCGGCTATGAAGTCCAACATACCATTTGTCTCCTTCACTACCTGCTTGCTTACTTTCAGCAACTGGTGTATAAAGACCTCATTTATTGTTGAACCTCCCCATCTCCCAAGCTATCAACATTCAGGTAAATAAACTGCCTTCCTTGTTTTGTGATAAAGTGGATAATTTTACATTTATCCACCTTATACTTAACCTACTGCGCATTTGCCCTCTCACTCAGCTTGTCCAAAACACACTCAAGCATCTTTGCATCTTCCTCACGGTTCACCTTCCCACCCAGCTTTGTGTTGCCTGCAAACTTGGAGTTATTACATAGAAATCATTTATATTTTGAATAGCTGGAATCCATGCACTGATCCCTGTGGTACTCCACTAGTCACTTCTTGCAACTCTGAAAAAGAACTGCTAACTCTTGCTGTTTATTTCCGGTTTATCAGCCAGTTCTACTCCAATCCTATGGGCTTTAAGTTTACATGCCTATCTCTTATGACACACCTTATCAAAAGCCTTCTGAAAGCCCAAGTAAAACACATCTACTGGCTAACCCTTATCAGCTCTACTAATTACATCCTTGAAAAATTCCAGTAGATTTGTCAAGCACGATTTCCCTTTTGCAAATTCACTCTGACTCTGGTCCAATGCTGCCACTGTTTTCCAAATACTCTGCTGTTAAATTTTTCATAATGCATTTCCCACTACAATGTCAGGCTAACGTGTCTATAATTCCCTGCTTTCACTTTTCTCCTTTTTTTTAAATAGTGGGGTTACATTAGCTACCCTCCAATTTATAGTAACTATTCCAGATTCTATAGAATCTTGAAAGATGACCAACAATGCAAACGCTATTTCAAGGGCCATTTCCTTAAGTACCTAAGAGTGTAAATTATTGGGCCATAGAGATGTATTGCTCTTTAACCCCACCAATTTCCCAATAACATTTCCTAACTGTTACAGATTTCCTTCAGTTCCTCCCATTCACTAGACACTGTATTCTCCAACATTTTTGGAATGAACTTGAGAATACTGTTTGGTAGCTGTAGGCCAGCAATTGCAGAGAAATTAAATCAGGAACATGCACGGGCAGAATTGGAGGTATGCAGAGATTTCAGAGAGCTTTAGGGTTGGACGAGGTTAGAGAGAAAGGAAAGGGTTTGTGATGGGAACTGAAGACTAACAGTTCGATGAAGTGAAAGCCACAGTCAGAAAGGAATGGGATGAGATAGAAACCTGAAGTTAAAGCTTCAACAGTGTAGGATCTTGCAACTGGGAAGGGGCAAAATCCAGGTATAGAGGTGGGTGGCGAGAAAGCTGGGATTGGGGGGTGGCAATATTCTTGAACATTATCTTCTTGGGGGCGAAGGCTGGAATGACTATATTCTAGGAATTGAGAAATGGGACTGTGACTGGTGAGATTGGCACAGCCAGTTTTGTTTAAGCATGACTATTATAATTATAATATATTAATTATATATAATTATATAATTATAATTTCTTACATATTGTAGAGTCATACTAAATAGCTTCTGAACCCTCTCCAACTTTAAAATTTCCTTCTTATAACTGGGCGACCAGAACTAGATACAGTATTCCAGAAGAGGCCTCACCAGTGTCCTGTACAACCTCAACATGACTTCCCAACGCCTATAGTCAAAGGACTGAGCAATGAAGGCAAGCATGCCAACCGCCTTTTTAACCACCTTGTCTATATGTGACGCAAACTTCAAAGAATTATGTACCTGCACTCCATGTCCCTCTGTTGTACAACACTACCCAAGGCCCTACCATTAATTGTATAAGCCCTACCCTTGTTTTCTTTCACATTTTCCCCCATCAAGGTTACTGCAAGCAGAATTCAAAAAACCAAAGCTTTATTCTTTTGAAAGATGGGAACAATGTTATATCACCTGACACTAGTCACCGCTCTGACGTGAATTTATTCATTTTTCAGGTGATGGTGAGGATGAAGATGATACACGGGATGAGAAGCTGCCTTCTTGTTTTGATTATGTCATGCATTTCTTGACGGTTTTCTGGAAAGTTCTCTTTGCCTTTGTTCCTCCCACTGAGTACTGGAATGGTTGGGCCTGTTTTATCGTCTGCATGGCTGTGATTGGTTTACTCACAGCTTTCATCAATGATCTGGCTTCACATTTTGGCTGCACAGTGGGGCTGAAAGATTCCGTGACTGCTGTGGTCTTTGTGGCACTTGGCACCTCTGTACCAGGTAATTAACAGAATGGCAACAGGAATAAACATAGCTAATAAACAGTGTAATGCGTGACGTCTGGGACAATTACTCAATGGGTAGAAATTCACCTTGTAAAATGGAAACCATTATACATAGAGTCATAGAGATGCACAGCACGGAAAGAGACCCCTTGCTACAACTCATACATGCTGACCAGATATCCTATATTAATCTAGTCCCATTTGCCAACATTTGGTCCAAATCCCTCTAAACCCTTCATATGCCTTTTAACCATCCAGATGCCTTTTAAATGTTGTAAATGCACCAGCCTCCACCATCTCCTCTGGCTCCTCATTCCATACACACACGATTCTCTGTATGAAAATGTCCCCTGAGGTCCCTTTTAAATCTTTTCCCTCTCATCTTAAACCTATGCCCTCTAGTTTTGGACTCCCCTACCCTGGGAAAAAGATCTTGGCTATTCACCCTATCCATGCCCCTCATGATTTTATAAACCTCCATAAGATCCCCTCAGCCTCCATCACTCCAGGGAAAATAGCCCAGGCTGTTCAGCCTCTCCCTATAGCTCAAACGCTCCAATCCTGGCAACATCCTTGTAAATCTTTTCCGACCTCTCTCAGGTTTCACAACATCTTTCCTATAGTAGGGAGACCAGAACTGAATACAGTATTCCAAAGTGGCCTAACTAATGTCCTGTACAGCTGCAACATGACCTCCCAACTCCTATATTCAATGCACTGACCATTAATGGTAAGTGTACCAAACACCTTCTTCACTACCTTGGCCACCTTGGACTCCAGTTTCAATGAACTATGAATCTGCACCCCAAGGACTCTTTGTTTGGCAGCTCTCCCCAGGACCTTACCATTAACTGTTTAAGTCTTGCCCTGATTTGCCTTACTGAAATGCAACACCTCATTTATCTAAACTCCATCTGCCACTCCTTAGCCGATTGACCCATCTGTTCAAGGTCCCATTGTACTCTGAGATAACCTTCTTCACTCTCCACTACATCATCCATTTTGGTACCAGCTGCAACTTACCAGCCATGCCTCCCATATTCACATCCAAATCATTTATATAAAAATGACAAAAAGCCATAAACCCAGCATCAATCCTTGCGGCACACTGCTGGTCACAGACCTCCAGTCCTAAAAGCAACCCTCCACTGACATCCTGTCTCCTACCTTCAAGCTAATTTTGAATCCAAATGGATAGCTCTCCCTGTATTCCATGTGATCTAACCTTGCTAACCAGGCTACCATGCGGAACAATGTCGAACAATACACAATAATTGATACCGTGGAGTATTATATATAACCAGTGCGTTATTAAGCATCTTGTTCAAGCTGAATTACACTAAAGTGTTTATTTTTCTTCCTTATTATTTCAAGAGAAATGGGCATCACTGGAAAGGCCAGTAGTTATTGCCCATCCTCAAATGCCCTTGACCTGGTTTGTGCGAGCCGATTTCAGAGGGCAGTAAAGAATTAATCAGATTGCTGTGAATCTGGAGTCACATGTAGATCAGGTTGGGTAAGGACAGTAGATTTCCTTCCTAATGGACATTAATGATCCTAATCAGTTTTTATGACAACTGATTACAGTTGATTTTGGCCACCATTCCTGAGAATTAGAAAATCTGCCATCTTTACTTGAGCTGACCTACATGTGACACCAGAACCACAGTGATATGGTTGACTCTTAACTGCTGCTGGGCATCCAAGGGTGGGTAATAAATGCTGGCCTAACCAGTGATAATCACATCTTGTGACAGAATGAAAATAAAACTTTTCTTCTTTTACAAGTCACTGTAAATTGGTAGTTGACTCTTCTGCCACTGGAATAGTTTCTCCCCATAAACTCTGTCTGGTGCCCTCATGATTTTGAACACCTCGATCAAATCTTCCCTTCTCCAATCTCAGATTTTCTAATCTATCCAAATTGCTGAAGTTCCTCATCCCTGGAGCCACTCTCATTACTCTTAAATGCACCCGGTGTAATGCCTTCATGTCTTTCCTAACGTGTGGATTCCAGAAAAGGACACAATACTCCAGTTTAGGCCAAATCTTTTTATATTAAGGTTTATCACAGCTTCCTTGCCTTTGTACATTATGTTTCTGTTTATAAAACTTAGGATTCTGTATTCTTTCTTAGTCATTTTCTCAACCTAACCTGATGATTTGCACAGGTATCTCTGTTCCTATTTTGTATTGTCTCTCCATGTTCTTCCTACCGAAATGAATCACCTGACACTTTTTCTGCCTTACATTCCACCTGTCACTTGTCTGCACATTCTACCAGTCTTTGTCCTCATATAGTTTCTAACTATCCTTCCCACAGTTCACAATATCTCTTAAGTTTTGTGTCATCTGCAAATATAGATTTTCTGCCCTGTATACCCAAGTCCTTGTCATTGCGACAGGGAACAGCACACTCTGTACAGCACATTACTCTACCGCACTGTGTGAACTCAACATAATTACAATTACACAGCTCTTCTTTGAGTAATTTCACATGTTGACACCTGTGACAAATTCAACTATAGCAGCTGAGACGATCCATAACGTTGTGAAACCAACGATAGGATTGTAAAAGTCAATTTGCTCTCTCTTCCGTTATTAACAAATTCTTAAAAAAATTACAGTCTCTACATCTTTGTCAAAAACGAATCAGTTTTATTCTTGGACTATAACCTGTGTATTACATATTTTTAAAAATCAATCCATTAGTTTTTGAGATACATTGCTTAAAAACAGACTAAAAGCGAGGAACAAAATTACTACCTCCACCGATTTTTAGTGGCAAAGGTAAAAGCAGAAGTCCTATTGCTAATCCCTGGAGAAATGCAGTATGTACATTCCTCAAGCCTGAAATACAGCTGTTGCACCGTGTTCTTTGTCACAGCCAACTCAATATCCACATTGCTACTATCTCTTTATTCCATGGGTTTCATCCTTTCTGACAAGCCTTTTCTGGAAACCTTCCAACACTGAAGGCGCAGAAGCTTCAAGAAGGAGGAACCGTCTTTCCAACTTCTTAAAATTTAATGTTAATGAATAACACTAGTAGCTGGGTCATCATTGTACATACAAATACGTGAATTAGGAGCAAGAGTAGGCCATTATGCCCCTCAGACCTGATCCACCATTCAATCACCTCATTGCTCTGACTATGGCCTCAACTCCACAATCCTGCCAACCTCAAAACCCTTTCAATCCCTTGACTGCCAAGAATCTGTCTACCTCTGCCTTTTGGAAAGAAAATTTCATAGACCTATAGACCCTCCAAGAGAAAAAAAAAATTCTCAATTCAGCCATAAATAGGAGACTACTTATTTTTAAGCTGCATTCATCTTGTCAAGTCCCCTCAGAATCTTACATGTTTCAATAAGACCGCCTCTCATTGTTCTAAGTTCCAGTAGATAAGAGGCCCAAGGTTTGCTCATAAGATAACTACACCTTTCCTCATTGTACCAGGTAGAAGGTGGTGTACTGCTGCTGCTCTAAAAAGGTAGTTGGGGATGAACTCTGAGCTTGCCTGGAACACTGGTCCCCTGGTCTGCTATCAGACTTCCTCCAGACACCTGGCCAGTTTCTGATGCCTCTGGTACCCTTGGCACCTTGCAGGAATATTCCAGAAGGCTCTGACAGCAGACAAAAGCAAAATATTGCAGCTGCTTGAAACCTGAACTTAAAACTAAAAAAAAAATGCTGGACATCCTCAGCAGGTCCGGCAGCATCTGTGAAGAGAAATGGAGTTAATGTTTTAGGTCAAGGTGACTTTTCATTAGAACTGAAGAAAAATTGGAATGTAAGTGGTTTTGAGCCAAGGAGGAGTTTGGGAAGGGAACACGAAGAACAAAAGGGAGTCCTTGTGAGGGTGGGAGACTCTTGTCCCCTAAATAACAAAAAGTTTCAAGGTATAAAAGCCAAAGAGAGTGATAATGGGTGTAAGTAAAGAAAAAAAAAATGTCTAGTTGAGGTGTGAGTGGCAGCGTAGCAACCTTCTGAATGCAAAGTGAAGGGCTACAGAGAAAGAAGTAATACATAACTCATTAAACAAAAATCAAACAACATAGAGGTGGAGTTTATGATCTAGAAATGTTGAACTCAGTGTTGAGTCCCGAAGGTGGCAGAGTGCCAAGTCAAAATATTGGGTACTGTTCCTTGAGCTTACATCGAGTGTCATTGGAATAACGTAGAGGCTGAGGACAGAGAAGTCAGAGGGGGAGCAAGGTGGGTACTTGAAATGACCATGGGCCATGCTTATAGACTTGGAGGATGTGTTCTGTAAAGTGATCACCCAGTCTGCATTCATATTCCTAATGCAGAGAAAACCAGATCATGAATAGTGAATGTGGTAATTACATTGAAAGAAGTCTAAGTAAATCAATGTTTCAGTTGGCTGGAGTGTTTGGGGCCTTGAATGGTGAGAAGGGAGAAGAAAAAGTAGATTTTGCATCTGCTAGGCTTGCAATGGAAAGGTGTCTTAGGGAAGAGAGAGGATGTTTACTGAGAGTGGACCAGGGTGTTACAGAGAAATGGTTTCCTTGGAAGGCTGAAAGGGAAGATGTATTGGATGGTGGCATCCTGCTGCAGACAGCAAATGTGGTGGAAGAAGATCCTTTCCACATGGAAACTGGTAGGATGGAAGGTGAGGATTTGGGGAAACCTATTATGGTTCTCAGAGAGAGGCAAAGGGATGAGAACAACAGCATGTGAAATAGACTGGACATGGTGGAGGACCTGTTTACTTTGATATGTGGGATTCCTCAGCTGAGGACAAAAGAGGACACATTGGACATGCTAGCATGGAAGTTTGCATTAATTGAAGAGATGTGACAGAGGTGGAGAAACTAGGATGATGGAATGAAGTCCTTAAAGAAGTGATGTGTGATTTTTCAGATAGCAAAGCAGTCTATTTCCAAGTGCAACAAGATCTGGACAACATCCAGGCTTGGGCAGACAAGTGAAAATTAACATTCATGCCACACAAGTGTCAGGCAATGACCA